TCTGCCTCAGCTTCTGGGAAAGTTCTGACTGAACTTCTGGAGAAGTTCTGCTTCAACTTCAGGAGAAGTTCTGCCGGAACTTATGGAGAATTACTGCCTGAACTTCAGTCTCAACTTCTTGAGAAATTCTGCCTGAACTTATGGAGAATTTCTGCCTGAACTTCGGGAGAAATTTTGCCTGAACTTCTGTATAAGTTCTGCCTCAGCTTCAGGAGAAATTCTGCCTGAACTTCGGGAGAAGTTCCACCTTAGTTTCTGGAGAAGTTCTGCCTGAAATTATGGAGAATTTCGGCCTGAACTTCGGGAAAAGCTCTGCCTCAGCTTCTGGAAAATTTCTGCTTGAACTTCTTGTGACATACTACCTGAACTTCTGGAGAAGTTTTGCTTGAACTTCTGGAAAAGTTTTACCCCAACTTCTGGAATAGTTTTACCCCAACTTCTGGAGAAGTTCTGCCTGAACTTCTGGGGAAGTTCTGCCTCAGCTTCTGGGGAAGTTCTGACTGAACTTCTGGAGAAGTTCTGCTTCAACTTCAGGAGAAGTTCTGCCGGAACTTATGGAGAATTACTGCCTGAAATTCGGGAGAAATTTTGCCTGAACTTCTGTATAAGTTCTGCCTCAGCTTCTGGAGAAGTTCTGCATGAACTTCTGGATAAGTTCTACATGTACTCCTGGAGAAGTTCTGCCTGAACTTATGGAGAAGTTCTGCCTGAACTCCTGAAAAACTTCTGCCTGAACTTATGGAGAATTTCTCCCTGAACTTCTGGAAAAGTTCTGCTTCAGCTTCTGGAGAAGTTCTGCCTGAACTTCTGGAAAACTTTTACCCGTACTTATGGAGAAGTTCTGCCTGAACTTCTGGAGAATTTCTGCTTGAAAATATGGAGAATTTCAGCCTGAACTTATGGAGAATTTCTGCCTGAACTTCTGGAAAAGTTCTGCTTCAGCTTCTGGAGAAGTTCTGCCTGAACTTCTGAAAAAGTTCTGCCTAAACTTATGGAGAATTGCTCCCTGAACTTCTGGAAAAGTTCTGCTTCAGCTTCTGGAGAAGTTCTGCCTGAACTTCTGGAGAAGTTCTGCCTCAATTTCAGGAGAAATTCTGTCTGAACTTCTGGAGAAGTTCTGCCCGAACTTCTGCAGAAGTTCTGTTCGAACTTCTGCCTGAACTTATGGAGAATTTTTGCCTGGACTTCTGGAAAAGTTTTACCCCAGCTCCTGGAAAAGTTGTACTCCAGCTTCTGGAAAAGTTCTGCCTGAACTTCTGAAAAAGTGCTGTCTGAACTTCTGAAAAAGTTCTGCCTGAACTTATGGAGAATTTCTCCCTGAACTTCTGGAAAAGTTCTGCTTCAGCTTCTGGAGAAGTTCTGCCTGAACTTCTGGAAAACTTTTACCCGTACTTATGGAGAAGTTCTGCCTGAACTTCTGGAGAATTTCTGCCTGAACTTATGGAGAATTTCAGCCTGAACTTATGGAGAATTTCTGCCTGAACTTCTGGAAAAGTTCTGCTTCAGCTTCTGGAGAAGTTCTGCCTGAACTTCTGAAAAAGTTCTGCCTGAACTTATGGAGAATTTCTCCCTGAACTTCTGGAAAAGTTCTGCTTCAGCTTCTGGAAAAGTTCTGCCTGACCTTCTGGAGAAGTTCTGCCTCAACTTCAGGAGAAATTCTGTCTGAACTTCTGGAGAAGTTCTGCCTCAACTTCAGGAGAAATCCTGCCTGAACTTCTGGAAAAGTTCTGCCTCAACTTCCGGAGAAGTTTTGCCTGAACTTCTGGAGAAGTTCTGCTTGAACTTCTGGAGAAATTCTGTCTGAACTTCCGGGAAGTTCTGTATGAGATATTAGGAAGTTCTGTCTGAACTATTCGGAAGTTTTGTCTGAAGTTATCGGAAGTTTTGCATGAACTTCTCGGAAATTCTGTCTGAACTTCTGGAGAAGTTCTGCCTCAACTTCTGGAGAAGTTCTGCCTCAACTTCAGGAGAAATCCTGCCTGAACTTCTGGAAAAGTTCTGCCTCAACTTCCGGAGAAGTTTTGCCTGAACTTCTGGAGAAGTTCTGCCTAAACTTCTGGAGAAATTCTGTCTGAACTTCCGGGAAGTTCTGTATGAACTATTCGGAAGTTCTGTCTGAACTATTCGGAAGTTTTGTCTGAAGTTATCGGAAGTTTCGCATGAACTTCTCGGAAGATTTGTCTGAACTATTCGGAAGTTTTGTCTGAACTTATCGGAAGTTTTGTCTGAACTTCTCGGAAGTTCTGCCTGAATTTTTCGGAAGTTCTGCCTGAATTTTTCGGAAGTTCTGCCTGAACTTCTCGGAAGTTCTGCCGGAACTTTTTGGAAGTTCTGCCTGTACTTCTCGGAAGTTCTGCCGGAACTTTTTGGAAGTTCTGCCTGTACTTCTCGGAAGTTCTGCCTGTACTTCTCGGAAGTTCTGCCTGAACTTCTTGGAAGTTCTGTCTGAATTGCTTTAAACTTCTCGGAAGTTTTGCCGGAACTCCTTCAGATTTCGGTGCGAGCTTCACTGAAATTCGGTCTAATTTACTTTCAAGTTCGCTGAAGCTTGCTTCTGCTGGAACTTTTACTCGGAAATTGGAGAATTTATTTAAGCTCTTCTTTCCTTTTAAGTTCTTCGATCTTTGCTGAAGACCTTTAAATTGCATGTAGATAGTCATGCCATTTCATTTAGAATGTTGAGTTTAAAAAAATAGCAGGACGTCTTCGAAGAAACAATAAGGGAACTTGATTAACGTTCAGGCAGCTTCAATGAGAAATTTAATAAAATTAGGGTTGTCAGAGCTTCTCCCATGAGTCTTAGAGATACTTTGTGAGTTTCTACGAGGAAGTTGCCTTTGATGTTACGGCTACTTCCCAATGAAGCTTGAAGCCCCGCAAATTTATCAAAACAGCAACAGGATGTTTTCTACTTAAAGGTCTCAAAACTTTTAATAAGAAGATCCTAGGACTTCTCACCGAGCTATCTCAAACATTCTCCTGAAGCTCTTCAAACTCCCCTAGGGGATTTCTTCGAGTTCTCCGTCTAGAGAAGACCTCAAATTCAACTGAACAGTGCAGAAGAATAAATTAAGAGAACTTCCAGGACAAATCCAGTGTAAATTCAGCGAACTTTCAGCTCAAAGACCTCTAAGGTATACCCGGACCGCCACAATCAGAAGACCAAAAGGTCTCTTAAACCAATCCATAGTATTTCTGAGGTAAATTCAGTAGACTATAAGAACATGTTTGGAGTGTGTTATCCACGGCAAATGATAAGTGATGCTAGAGGGTTCTCTAGGAGAGCTTCCTGTACAAATCAGGGAATTTTCATAACAAATCAAGTAGTTTAAGTGGACGTCAGAATCTGGATCAGACGATTTCCAGAGCATGTTAAGAGCTTCCAGAATATATTCAGAACATCGCAAGTTCCAACGTTCAGTCCAGAACAACAGTAGTTCACAACAAATTTAGTATACATCCAAAAGACTTCCAGAATGAGAGTCAAGTGAGTTCGTGTGTTGAATGGACGTTAATGTAAACATTCGAACAGACCGAAAAAATGCAGAGCAAATGGAGAGGACAACCGAAGCCGAAAAGTTCTGTCTAGGGCAAGGCTAGTCCACAAGAAATACAGGGAGCCTCTAAAGAAGATCCAGAGAACGGTTATCGGGATAATTTGAATGAAGTTCCCTAACAAGTCTAGTGTAAATCCTGATGAATGTTGGCATCTTAGTGGAATACCTGTATAAAGAAAGACTAGTTGAGCATTTACAAGAAGTCTGCACATTGTAGACGAAATACGCGTATCTGTCGAGGATAAGCAAATAAGGTAGTGGAACTTATTGGAAACTCCTAAGTCTAGTCTAGCATCTCAAGAAAAACCTTGCTTAAAAGTGGCAAATTCAAAGAACTTGGAAAGTAAGTTCGAATTGGTGGATTTCCAGAACAGGCAATTGGTTTTGTGGGTACCTACGTTTAGATTTTTTTCCCAAAGCTAGCCCAGAAGCCCTTTTTTAAGTGGACATCCATGCAAACATACAAGCCAAAAGTCTTGGATAAACTGTTCAATAGAACCTCCAGGACAAGTCCAATTAACAAAGTTTTCCAACAAATCTAGGACATATGGAAAGGAGATCCAAAACTCGATTAACATAGTAGATTTCAAGAAATTTTGTCTGTATATGTGGGAAATTCAGAAAGCAATCCGAGGAAGCGATGCAGGAAAAGTTTAGAGGACTTCTAGGGATTTGCAGGATATGTACAGCGTATGCCAAGGGCGAACCATGTTCTGAGGGCTTCCAGGAAAAATCCAGAGCTTAAAAAATACCAGGTGGGAAATTTTGGAGAACTTCCGGTGCAAAATAATTGGTTTTGTAGGATACGCTTAGAGAACTTCCATTACTAGATTGACTTTCAATGCAGCTCCAGAAGACTTCCAGAGGTGACGTATTTTTTAAAATAAGTTAAACGGAGAAGAAGAAATCCGGAGAAAACCCTTCATCAGATCAAGGATGATTTCATAACTCATGTTCTGGGGACTTACAGAATGGAACTAAAAAACTTTTAGGACAAGGCTAGAGGTCGTTGACCATCAACCATAATTTAGGATAACAAGTTAAATTCAGATTAAGTCTACCAATCCACACACACAAAATTATATTTATGACTTGCACACCAAGTTAAGTCTTTTTACTTAGTTAAGTACTTTAAGTGTACTGATTATACATGTTGTGGAGGTTCTACCAGCATGGTATCGTAGACAAAATAAAATGTCAATTACAAATCCTGCGGATTTTCGTGCAACCTTGAACCACAGCCCAACAATTACTGAGTAACGAAATTAAAATCAGTACGTTATTCGAACTAAAGACACTGCAGACGTGAAATCCACCTTTCAACACAATACACTCTCTTAATACATCGCCATCAAGCGAAAACTAATCCGAGATCAACTGAGTCAATGACATTGCCACCAGTACCTATATAGAGTGCTGATAATGATAACTGAGTTTACTCACGGATAGTAGAAAAACAGGAACGTTGTGCCCAACAGGAGCGTCCAGGCGAAGGTCGCTGGGATGTATCTGGTTTTGACATCACATTTCGGCATCGTCCGTGCCTTTCTGTGACCACAGGAACGGCTGGCTGCGTCCCCGTTTTCCGCTTCCGTCCGAAAATCTAGGGTTGACTCCTGCCTTCCGTGCACAAATTGCTATCGAAAATTTTCACTTTTTCCCACCCACACCCCCGATCTCGACCCGCGCGATAGGGGCACAAGGTTGCCCTTCCTGATTGAAGAAAAATATATTCGCTAAAACCTATCGACCAAGGTGTGCTTCTTCCCTTTATTTCTTCGCCACACCACATCAAACTACTGTACACTACACTCTTTACTCGCTCTGTTGCTTTCGGAGCTTCTTCGTTTGCTTCTTTTTCCTCCACCAAACCAAAGTGATTCGCTTTTTTATCGTCGTCGTCGTTTTCTTCGTGATTTTTTTTCCTTCTCGCTAATACAGGTTACTCGGAGTAACCTTTTTTAGCTTTCACAGTCGTCAGAAGAACACTCTCCGCTGGTCGTCGATTATTTGCTGCTACTACTCCATTTTCGATACACACCATTTAAACCACTATCGCACCATCCCGGAACAGAGCCCGTTTTTTTCCTCCTTGCTGGAATGCAAAAAAAGGGAAAATTCTTCCACCTAGGTAATCGCGTTTTTCCCTTCGAACACTGTTCCAATCCGCACTCCTCCTGCCACTACTTGTACGTGAGTGTGCCTTTTTCTTCTTCTTCTTTTTTCAGCGCCCCAGAGGGTGCAAAATAGCAGAACAGCAGCCCCAGAGGAAAATCCTCACCGCACAGACTTTTGCTACATTACTTCTGATCACTCTCACTCACTGCTATTGCTGGTTTTCCGTTTTTCCGCCGCGGAAGCACGCACGAATCCGAATCCGAAAACACTTGCTATTTTTCCACTGACTGCCACTGGAAGTTTGTTCTTCAGCAGAATCCGATCCGAAAAAAAGGCTAGTGCCCGTGCCGTGCAAAAACTACTGTGTGATGGATGGATGCGACCGTCGACGAAGAGAAGCGAGCAAAATATGTTGAACCTTTTTCGTCGTCGTCACGCAATGAGCTGGATTACCGAGGTGAAGCAATCACTCACACAACCACTGTACGATACACGAAAGTACACGCAAGTAGTGACGTCACTACTTGCGTTTACGTTGATTTTTTGGTTTACTAATACAACCCTATTTCACGATCTGCGCCACCTCTCTCTGTACCTCATTGGTCGTCACGAACATCGTCGCATGATGGCTGCGACATTGACAGCCACCTGACGGATGGTACGTGCAATGGTAGCTAGGGATGTGTCGATGAACGTCCGTCGAACAACAAGCAAGCGATTAAACTCGGATTGATTTGAACCTGAAAATCGATTAACTTGACCTTAACAAAAATGGTTAAAAATGCAAGGAACCACCTCACCTCGGTGAGAGTTGGTATGGGGGCGAGCTGTCAATTTGTTAGTTTAGTTTCAAACAGTGAAGTTATTATTTTGCTAAAAAAATCATAATTAATAAATTGATGACATGACGATTCACTAATGGAGGAGAGCGTCCATGAGAATTGTTCGGGGTGCGTGGGATTTGAGTATCCATTTTGAATTATGAAAATTATTTGAGAACCCGTAGGCAAACTAATTTCACAGATTCAGGGGGGTATAATGGGAGTGTTTTGGATCTGATCGATAGTGTTTTAATGCTTCAATGCGATTTTCGCGCGTCGTGTGTAGTTGGGTTGTTGCGATCAAAAGAATGCGTATGTTGAGTTTGGAATTACAGAAAGGGTGTATGCGTGATCCAGTTTGAAAAAAACATTGTTAACTGCTTTCGGGGACGTCACTTCATTTGAATAGCTTTTTGTTAAGTCGGTCGTAGATTGTGGTAATGTGAGGTGGCTATAGAACAACCGTTTTTGCTTATTGAGCGGAAAATCTGGGGTTCGAACCTAATACCCCGGACAGACTATGGCTTATATCATGTAATATAGGCTGGCTTGCAATGTGTTAACGTCAAACGCAAGGGAATTGACTATGCGCGCCACAGGTGGCGGTACTACCAACTAAAAACATTTAAATTTACCGTTAAATGCGTGTTAGATGAACAACTTGCAAGTGTTATGTCTGTTTGTCTGTGATGAAACGATCGTCGGTCGTATACATATCAAGAGCAAATTTTCATTATGTCGTAAGTAACATTCGCACCAATCCGAGAAAAATAAAGTTTTGTTTTGATGACCGAAACGTTATTCCTATTTCCAAGTAAACACATATAATCTCATAGTGATAGCAATGTTTAACATATTTAGCAGGGTTTTAATCATACAAATGCAAATCGCTAGCTTTCATGCTAAAAAATACTGGTTTTTGAGTCAAAAGTTATTATACGTCGTTTGGTGGCCCCTATTGTTACTTAAGTCAAAGTGTATTTACCAGGATATTCGGGAGAATTATCAATTACGTATCCTTACGTGCAGCCCATTCATCATTTTAGGACTACCGAAATCATCTTAGCAACAAACAGTTCGATTTATTCACTTTAATAATGAGAAAGCGAAACGACGAACGTACACTTTTCACGGGTTTCTCAGCGCTGTTACTTAGGTCAAACGGCATCTTCATAGAAATTGAGTGACTTAAGTAACATCGAAAACTATTTTGATCGGAAGGTGATTACGTCAAAAAGCAATTTGACTGGCAAATAAATGTAAAAATAGGATTTGATCCTATATTCGGACAGTATATAGTGTAATAGCAGGAGAATCGATTGACACTGATAGCTCGACTTTGTTTACCTTTGTTACATTCGACGTAATGAAAATTTGCTCTTGATATATAGTTATAGCACAGACAAACATACATAACACTCGCAAGTTGTTAGTATCGTAGTATCGTAGTTGGTAGTACCGCCACCTGTGGCGTGCATAGTCAATTCCCTTGCGTTTGACGTTTACACACTACCACTGTGCGCACCTCCGAGCACTACACATCTTGCGACGTACTCTACCAGATCCTGGGGGGGGGGACGTGCTGTCAAATCAGCCTACTGATCATTATTATATGAAACTGGTTCCATACGTAAACAAACCCTGTAGGTTTCTTATGGCTTGTTTACGTTTGGAACCAGTTATGCGCCTTATGCCGAGCCTTATGCCGAGCCTTATGCGAGGTAGGCGACGATTGTTCGTATTTGACAGCCACCTCCCCCCCTTGACCAGAACCTCAAACGACGTTGATACGAAACGTCAGTGAAGGATCGAGCTGAAACCAGGGGGGGGAGGTGGCTGTCAAATATGAACAATCGTCGCCTACCTCGCATAACTGGTTCCAAACGTAAACAAGCCATAAGAAACCTACAGCGTTTGTTTACGTTTGGAACCAGTTTCATACAAGAATGATCAGTAGGCTGATTTGACAGCACGTCCCCCCCCAGGCTGAAACTAACCAACTGTGCGGGTGTGAGAATGGTCAGAATACGTATGAAAAAGATAAATAAACGGAGAAGAACGATAATTAATTGAATGTAAACAAAGGCATTGGAGCAAAAGTGTAGTTGCATCTTTGCATTAAAGTAAAATATAGTGAATATTAGCATATTAGGAGTTTAAATACTTATTCCAAAGCGGAACTTAGTGGGAATTTTTATAAAGTACATTCGGATTCAATCTGTTGGAAAACTTCCCAAAAACGTAACCTGTAAGAGAAAGAAGCGGATTAGATAAACCATAAATGTAAGTTGAAATGAATTTTGTTAAAATTATTGATAGCTAACGCAAATATACTTAGTTTTAAGCTGTTAACAACACAAAAGTGAAGTGTTGCTGTGGTAATTCGGTTTTTATTAGGCTGGCCCGAACAACCACCATCTGTTTAGCGTAGTGCCCACCACAGTGTACTCAGCAGATGGCGGTAATGTTTTAGCGACGATGTTTTACAGTGAGGAATATTCAAGGAGTAAGTCTGTTTGTCTGTGGTTATAGTATATAGTTTGTTGTGTTTGAATTGACACGGTGGCGACCGTTTTTGCTTACTGAGCAGAAGACCGTGGGTTCAACCCCAAGCTCGTTCGCGTTATATGATCCGTAGGACATCAATTCAGCTTATCGTTTACCAAAACGAACCCTGCTGCAAACCCAACCCTCTTACCCAATATCCCAGTCTTCCACGAGGAATTCTCGGCTTCCATCAAAGCGAGTGTTACGTCAACACATTCCTACCCATTCCTTTCTTGACCTGCGTTCTGTGCTGGTGCTGGTATAGCCTAGTTTGAGATCACCAGTTTTTACACATTGAGGTTGATTGCTACTCCCAAGCATCGTCTATTGGTGATCTGTGTAAATCCAGCTGATCTGGCAATAACAGAGTAGCAACCGTGGGCGGTCAATCATGCTCATGCTCATATGAACTGTATGTGTGATCAATAGAGATGATATGTCCAAGTGAGAATTATGTGTCTGGCATAGAGAAACTATACCATGAATTTCATTGCAAAAATCTATGTATGGAACACATGGAAACTTGGGACGCTTCCAAATCTTTCGCCTCCGTCATCGTCGAAAAAAGAGAAGCTGGATCAACTGGATAACATGCCAGATCCCCGAAATACCATTACATACTTCAACTTCGACCAGGTTGCCTTCAAACAATAAAGTTAACTCCTTTTGAGGGAGCCTGTTTGGTAATAGAACAGCAGGCACATTCGTGATTTAATGATCCAATGCCCAAGTGGTTCAATAAAGACTTTTGTGGTATGACATGTACTTAATAAAATTGTATGTTTGGTAGCATTACGGTAGCCAGAGACGATGTGAGCCTTTGGGGTTTATATACGCCTGGTTTGCGTCCACTGGTCATTAAGCGACCTTTGCAAGGATTTCAGGCCCTCGCCGATTTTAGCTTAGAACGATCAGCTTCCATAGCTTCTGGTTGTTCATCCACTCAATCCATTCATACCCTTATAGCGAATTCGTTTATTATCGGGGTTAACACCAGTTCCAACCCAGTGCGAAACCGAACTTTTTGTCAGTGTGAACCTCAACCTGAGCTAGGTTTTAAAAACAAACGAGCAAACTGACGTTTGTCAGAAAACAAGCAGACCCAATCTTGATACCCGATCCAGGTTGGAACTGAATAATAAACGAATTCGTTATTAATTTCGGAACTTACGAGTCACAAACTACCACACCGCAAATGACGAAAGTCAACCGACGAATGGACAGGTGCCAATCGCACACAGCGCGGATATTACAGTTTCGGCTATTCCAAGATGCTGTTGCAAACCACGTGATTTTTTGTAAGAGATTCTACATCCTGACCCCCCTCATACACATTTCTAACTATTGGTATGGCCGTGGACATTCGCCAATTCCTTCCCCAAAACTGTCTACGTGGTTTGTGGACAGCTTCAGTGAAAAAAAAAACTGTTACAACAACGTATCGATACCTACTTATTTGGTAAAAACAGGTTGATGAAATTGGATTGTTTGCTGATTAATCAAAGATTGATTTTTAATTTGGATATATTTTAGAAATCAAATCGGTCGGATCGATAAAAGAACACCATCCATATATCGACAGTGAGCGTTCAAAAGGGCCTACATGCAATGATCTATTCTCTTCATCGATTTTCTCTTTACATTGCTCCACATTGCACAGGTGGACCTCGACCCATAGATTGAGAAACGCTGCGATGGATAAATACATTTTTCCTTGCAAAACATGAACTCTCAAGGATTTCACTTTCACAGTTTTTGAGAAAGCTTGTGAAAAGGTTATAAAGTTGTTTGAATTTGTACAAAAATAAACATTTAATTTGGAACAGAAATACTACAGTAGTTGATCAGGACTTCATGCTGGGTACGGCCCCCACCTTCGAACGACAACGAATGTTCCTCGGAATATTCAGTTTACATAGATCGGTATAACTTGTGATGAGTTAAGCGGCCGTTGGCACATCGGACATTTGTGACGGATTTCAACTTCCTTCGTAATGCACGAATGGCAAAACATGTGTCCACAAA